AATACCAACAAGTGTAGAGCATGCAAAGAGACTTGACGCCCAAAATGGTAACAACTTGTGGATGAAAGCATTATCTAAGGAAATGTCCAATATTGGTGTTGCGGTTGAAGTGCTGGCCTATGGAGTGTTAGCACCTCCTGGATATTCAAAGGTCACCGGTCATCTAGTATGGGATGTGAAGATGGATTTCATTCGCAAAGCCCGATGGGTACTTGATGGTCACAAAACACCTCCCTGTATTCTCAGTATGCAGGAGTGGTATCACGTGAGAGTGTCAGAATTGCCTTCACCTACGCTGCCCTGAATAACCTGGACGTTTTTGCTGCCGATATCCGAAATGCTTACCTTCAAGCACCCTCATCCAGAAAGGACTATATCATTTGTGGCCCTGAATTTGGATTGGAGAATGTTGGAAACGTTGCCTTGATTCATCGTGCCTTGTATGGCGGAAAGACCGCAGGACGGGATTTCAGAAACCATCTCAGAGCTTGTATGCATCATCTGGATTTTCTGTCATGCCCTGCTGATCCCAATGTTTGGATGCGTCCTGCTATGAAGGACGATGGCTCCGAATATTGGGAATATGTCCTTCTATACACCGATGATGCGCTGCGTGTCTCTATGAATCCAGAAAGGGTTCTCCGAAAGGAACTTGGGAAGTATTTTGAGCTGAAAGAGGAGAGCATTGGCCCTCCGAAAATCTATCTTGGCAGTAATGTACGAAAGGTTGAGCTGGATACTGATGTTCAATGCTGGGCATTTGGATCCTCCCAGTATGTCCAAGCCGCTGTCAAGAATGTTGAGAGATACCTCAATGACCGTTGCAAGGCAGGAGATGAGCGATTTAAACTGAAGCCCAAGGCAATGACGCCGATGCAGACCTCCTACCGGCCTGAGCTTGACGTGAGCCCAGAATTGGAGCCGTCTGATGCCTCATATTATCAGTCGCTGATCGGAGTCCTACGATGGATTGTTGAGCTTGGAAGAGTTGATATCTGCCTTGAATGTTCTTTGATGTCTTCGCAACTGGCTATGCCAAGAGTAGGACATTTGCATCAAGTGCTGAGCATTTTCTCTTATTTGAAATCTCATCACAACGCTGAGTTGGTGCTTGATCCAACCTTCCCTGTGATCGATGCTGCCGAATTTGAAAGGAAGGATTGGTCAACCAGCGAATTTGGCCACATAGACAACTTGAAGGAAGAGCTGCCTCCAAACCAGCCAGAACCAAAAGGCATTGGATTTGTTACAACTGCCAAAGTGGATGCTGACCATGCCTCTGACACAACTACGAGACGTTCCCGAACTGGTTTCTTTGTGTGGGTAAATGGTGCATTGGTGTACTGGATGGCAAAGAAGCAGACTGCAGTTGAGTCTAGCAGCTTTGGAAGTGAATTCTGTGCAATGAAGTTGTGCTGTGAATATCTTCGTGGCTTGCGATACAAGCTAAGGATGATGGGGATTCCTGTACTTGGCCCGTCCTTTATCTATGGAGATAATAAGTTGGTGTTGGCCAATACAAGTATCCCTGACTCTCAATTGAAGAAGAAATCTCAGTCCATTGCATATCACTTCATCCGTGAAGGAGCTGCAAAAGACAAATGGCGGACGTCGTATGTCAACACTCATGAGAATGACGCTGATTTATTGACTAAGCAACTGCCCTATGGTCAAAAGCGACGAAAGTTTGTGAATCGCCTGATCCATCATGTCTATGAACATAACTAATTGATATTGATCGATATGTTTTTCGATATATCTATGATACTGATCGATGTGTGATTCGATGTATCTGTGTACTGGTGGATGTAGGTCTCTCCGACCCTGACCGAACCACGTACTTCGTTGAAAACCTTGTATTTTACTGTTTGTCCAAGTCTGAGCAAAGTCCTCGCCCCATTTTGCAATCTGTTACGCTTTAGCGCGTTTCCAGCTTGAGCGGAGTGTTCTAACGTCAGGCAGACAGACGGAACGACGGTTAGTACGCCAAATTGAACGTTGGTGAACGTTGGCGATGCTAGCGATCGTTTACGTGCATGTTTTCGCACACAATTCAATTAATTTTCAGACAACAAGGTTTTACGTCTTTTCCTTTGTCATCACCCAACATCAAAACATAGGCACGTCCAGCGTCATTATATCTCTACCTTTGTGTGCATCAATAACACAAGTAGTGGTGATTGCTTCTTGTGAAGCAGTTGGACTTGCAGTGTCCTCTCGCGATAACCATTCACGAGTTCCATCGCCTTGGAATACTAGGCGACCTTTAATTGTCTTTTCGAATTGCTTTTCCGCGAGTAACATCATCGCTGATTGGGCCTTCTTTCGCTCAGACGCGGTCATGTCTTTCACAAATTTAGGAGTAAAACAATCTCTCAGGAGCATTTGTCTCAATTCCTTATCCACAGCATCTTTTCCATCATCACCAAACTTCTTCAGTCCTTGATTGATGTAATACTGTTGAATGAAGTTCAGACCTTCATCAGTATCAAACTTTGCCTTGATCTGTATCATGCAACGAGCGATCAGAATAGCGTCGTGCTCTTCATAATTATCAGGGCCCTTATATATATAACTGAATCATTAATTGGTTTTTATGCTACTTCTAGAGTATCCAACTGCCGGTGTAATACGGCTGTAGAGGCCAGGAACTATGCTGCTTTTAGTCAGATAAGTTTGAACCACGTTGAG